GAAATGCCTTAAAATGCAAGATTAATTAAATAAAAAAATTTCATCAAGATTTTTTCGTTATTGACAACAAATGTGACGAACATTTCACATTTTGACAGAAAAAATTGTAAAATAAAATTTCAAAAAATGTTTTCTAAATGCCCTAATTTTACGAGAAACATGCAGGAAAAGATAAAAAATTTTAAAACAATTTTGTAAAAAATTTCGTCAAAATGTCTAATCAAATTTGAGTAAGTACTTCACTTAATCTTAAAGGACATTAGATACTACCACCAGTGGTACACATACCATAGTTTGAGCCCTTTTGAGTTTTACCATATCACAGAACGTTTAGAGTGTTCTTTTTTTTTTGACATTGTGGACCTACCGAGTCTTCTGTGTCCTCCGCTCTTAGAGGTGACTTGCTGCCCTTTGGCCACTGAAAGCACAGACAGGACATTGACACTGGATTTCAAACAAAGCAGCAGCAGCATGATCAATAAAACACACAGGGACTCTCTGTTTATACTGTGTTTTGTAGAGAATTCCAGGAAATATATCAATTATAAGTATACAATAAAAAAGTACACTCTAAGATTCTAGTACTGAAGTATGAAGGACAAATCTTACCCCAGTTAACGCCGACACAGAGACGATAAATCCGACCAAGCACAGCAGCGTGAAACCTCTCATCCTGGCTCAGTTCAGTTCTCACTGCTTTGGCCGCAGACGCTGGTTTTAAAGGTTTCCAATCCGGTAGGTGGAGACTAATGTACAAATGTACATAACAAAAATCTGAGATCTTCACAAGTTACATGGCGAATTACAGCAGTCGGTAGTGTCTGATTTGGTTGACTTAGTCGTGTAGTGTGTTGTACGTCAGGGTGAGGGTGCTGTTGCGTTATTGTTCTACAGTAGTTACTGCTTGTTGTCACCTGTGAATCACTGAATCGAAGTGCAAAATGATACAGAATTAGTTGTTTGTTTCTTAGATGGAACATTGGTTCAAACTGTGTTTATATTTCAGTCTGACATCATACAGTACCGGTGAATAATTTAGCTGTTAGCTACTTTTAGTTTTCTTTGACTTTAAGGTATTTGACGCCAACCTTTTTTTTTTTCTTAGTTTCTCTCAACTTCCTGATTCACCTTTTATGAAAGTTTTGTAATATTTTATGTACTTTTTAGCAATCGGTTTCCACCATTTATTTATGTACATTCAGGCTATCATGTTAGTATTTTTAAAAACTAATTTTAGTCTATTTGTCTCTTATTCTTTTGGCTTTTTTACATGCTAACAATTGTTTTTCTTATCTACTTTTCCTTCTTCTTCTGTTTTCACACATCTATGGGACGTTTTTAAAACTAAGATTTTTTAAAACTTATATATATATATATTTTAAGTGTGTTTTGCTTAAGATTTTTCTTACTAGAAAAACCAATTAAAATATTACTGGCAACAATTCATTAATTTAAAATATCTTTAGGCCAATCATAAGCTTAAGAAGTGTCACCGACAACAACAAAACACAGCAAACGTTTAAATGAAAAGTAAATTTTTTTAATTTTCTCAACGACAAAATAGACTTCTTTGGTTGTACAAATTCACTAGTTACAGTCTTGTCTTGTTTGACCTCTAACCCTTGACCCCCAGGACGTCTGACCCTTCCCACTTCGACCTATTTGCAAGTAAAAGCCCCGAAACAACAAAAAAGAACACAAAGTTAAAACACTGCATTAATCATGTAGTGAAACTCGCCGGAGATAAAGATTGACCTGGAAGTTAAAAAAAAAAAGAAAAGATCAGTCGACCGAAATGAAACAAAGTGATTTTCAGTCAGTGTGAACATGAAACATGGAAAGATTTCAGTTAAACAGAATCTACTTTAAATTAAACACAAACTCTGTGACCAGGTGATTCAGCTAAAATCATCTACCTGAGGCACAGCGCCCCCAGCTGACTGTTGTTAAAAAAAAAAAAAAAACTTAGAGAGGGATTTCTCTGATTCACACTCTGCCATTGACTAAACCAATATACACGCAGAGAGTAATCCCAATCCTAATCCCAATCCCAGTCCTAGGTCTGTCCAAACCCAGACCAGGATTCTGACCCTCACTCACTGGCTCAGGGTCCAAGACCGGCTCAGTTTCACGCCCAAAGTTTCTGCTTCTTTCACTAATTTTTTTTTTTTACATTATTCACACAACAATAAATGATTTTTTTCAGTGGCATCAGATTTAAATTAAAACCATAGACAGAAAAAAACACACACACACACACACCTGCTACCTTCATGTCTCGTCTGGAAAAATCTCCAGGATAAAAAAAAAAAAAAATGACTGAACCTGATAAATAAAAATACAGTGAGTACCATTAGTTGTTCTGTAACTGGAACTGTTTTTTTTTTTTGTCTTGCAGTGGGGAATGTAACGCACGGAACACAAGTGGACGCACGCGCAGAGAGGATACGACTAAAGGTAGAGTACGCAGAAATTTACGACAGTTTTTCTCTGGGTCATTTCTAACAGGACATGAGAGTCAGGTGGCACAACGATGCCCCCTGCCTGTCTGTACTGTAAATGTTTTAGGTTACATTAGATCAGTGGTTCTTAATTTAATTTGTCATGCCTCCCCACCCCCCTATCGGGACAGAAATGTTTTCACGCCCCCCTATTGAGAACCTGGTAACGTATATTTTTATCTGTACAAACCACTGTATGACTTGCTGCCACCTAGTGACTGGAGGCTTCAAGCATTACAGCAGTGGTATACTTATGTCCAGCGTGCCATATTCAATTGGAAGCCCCCCCCCCCAATATTTGAGAAGTACTGCATTAGATGAACTTACCAATATTACAGGCATGGTATGATTGTAGTCGACATACCAGTGTGTCCCTGGAAAAAGACACCAAGTCTCAAGTTGCCCCTAGTGGAAAAAAACTGTAGTGCTAAATATAAATACACCGAGCTAAAATGTAGTGATCGTTCCTGAAAACGTAGCAGTATTTTGGTTTTTAAAACAACAGGGGAATGTGGGGGGGGCGGGGTTGTGTGGGAGTTAGGATCAGCTATAGGACTCTAACGTATTTATATATATGTATATGTGTGTGTGTATATATATATACATACATATATGTGTATATATATATATGTATATATATATACATACATATATATACATATATATGTTATATATGTGTATATGTTTATATATATATATACATATATATTTATATATAATAGGGTTTAGGTTTAACTATGTTTGTAGCGCCCCCTGCAGTGTTGAGGTGTTAAATTGAGTTTAAAAAAAAATTTAAAAAAATTCCAGAATACTCTACCTTTAATTGATGATATGCCTAAAAAAATTTTATACCTAAAAAAATTTGTCGTAAAACTGATATTGAACTTTTTTCAGATAAAAGGCCTTTAATGTCTTTAAAAGAATAAATACCATGTAGCAACATCAACAACAGGTGGTGTTTGAAGTTCACTTAAAAAAAAAGACACTCCACTCTTTGTAGTGACAGTGAAGGTAGCAGGATGCCCCCCCTCTCTTTTTATATACAACAACATTCGACCCCCTGCCCCCCCCCGCCCTCCCCCCCCCACCACCTTTTTTCTGAAACTCCTAAAAAAAATGTCATTCAACGCGTTAGTAATAGCTACGACCCATTTATTTAAAACTTCCAGTACGACTTTAAAAAAAAAAAAAAATCAGGACAGAAAGTAAAAATTAAAAAACTAAATCTTTTCGATCGCCTCTGGTTAAAATAAACGTCTTCTACCAGGCAGAGCGTGAAGTTAAAACCCAGAATTGTCCATCGTAGCGATGCTAGCTAACCAAACAGCGGCTCCAGGGTCCAGGAAGGACCTGAGGGTCCGACACCCGGTCCACAGACCGGAGTGACCAGAGTGTGTGTGGCCCAGTGTTACTGCAGTGGTTACGTGTGTGTGTGTGAAACTGAACTCTGGCTTTACTGAGGGGGAGTTTGCCATGTGTGTTTGCCAGTGTTCCACAGCGTTGGTTTTAAAACAAGTGTGTTTGGTTCCCCCTCCAGGCGACTCGGGGTGTTACGTGGGCACGGCTGTTTCCAGGCTGCGGCGGCCCTGCCTCCCCTTACCCTTGTTGTTCTTCTAAGACAACTCCCCCACGGCCGCGGG